CTATTGAGAATGTGTGATTACTGGACAAAAATGGGTTTTGAGGAAAAACTACGGTAGTTTAGAATTTAACCCTTTAATGACGATAATTTTTGTAGAATTGTGAACTGTCTCCACTAAGAATAAATGGAAAATTCTGGAATATTAGTAAATACGGTAAGATTTTTCCATTTGACTCTTTGAAAAGTGCTTAATTCGGTCCACAAAAAAGAAGCCTAAAGAATCTTAGATAATATTCTTACAATATTTTTTTTTCAATAGGGAAATCCATTGCTTCGCAATAAATCAACATTTAATCGGTTTGAAAATAACCCAAAGGTTCTTGTTCTGTTCTTTACAATGCCTCGTGCGTTTTAAGTTGTACCGTTAGCTTTACAAGTTGATTGCTAAGATCGCCTATTATTTTATGTGTGTTGTATTTTGAGATCTTTTTATTCCAATTTTTATAAACCAGCGTGAAACATCCGTAAAAAAGCTCACCGCCCCTGTCCTCCAGCGAGTTCATCCCTCTCTCGAAGGTATGTGGACAGAAAAGCGATGGGGTAATCGAAATATTTTGGAATGAATTTTAAATTTTGTAATTCCTAGTGAACAAAAACCAGTTCGGTCTTGCTAAATTTAGTGGAGAGGTCAACAGCGCTGTTGCTTACGATGCTAATGTAATGGATGACAACAAGAGTTAACGAAAAACCTCCTTATGTATACACCTATTAGGCCGGACCTGGTACCAAGTGATTAATATCTGTTAATATTTATGGCGAATGCTTTTGCTGCTGAAAAATTGGCTTTAAGAGAAGCTTGTGAAAATCGACTGTCAAAATTTTTTGTCAAGTGGAACGAGGATTTCTTTAAGAGCGGCATTTTTAACGGCACATATTTGATCTAAACCGCAATATTCTAACTCTGCTAAATAAAACCTTAAATCTAATGCATAAATAAAGGATTTTTTTATTAGACCTTATATATTGCATTTCAATCTATACATAAAAAATGCTTTAACGAGCCAATCAAATGTCTTGAGCTTGATTAAAATTATTTTCTGTAATCCATAGACTTTGATAACGATTTTTGTGCTTGTGTGTACGTAACTGAAATGAAAACCGGATTTATATCGACGACTTTCAACATCCCTTGAAATTATTTGGTGATTTTTTTCTGTCGCGACAGATATTTGTGAAACAGTCCACTTACTTTAGCTTTCATCATAATAATTTAGGAGCTACATTTTAGCATTTATGTTGAACTTTAAGCAGTAAGAAGAATATTCATTGGTTTCGTGTGAAATACGCATTCAAAATTATTTGAAGGCAGTGCACTATACCCACTAACATTTTTAATTTGCATCGGTTCCAGCAGAACTTCTTAGATGATGACTTAGTCCAAACATTAGAATTCCAATTTTCCTGCTCAAGCAGCTGCGCCCTCTTAAAGTGGTAAGTGTTTGTTGGTGTATGCTTGTGAGTCTTTGTTTAGAAGGGTTTACCTCGTTTGCAACAATATTACCCTTGACATGAGTTCGCTTCTGTCACTCATTCACGCTCATATACGCTTCGCTCAGCCTATTGGTTTATATGTTTGTTGTTGCTATTGTTGTCATTGAGTTAAGTGGCCTATAGGCAATGCTTGATAACAATTTACCACTGTTGAGCATTTGAGTGTTTGATTTTGCCAATTTTCCTACACATTTATTCTTTCTTGTTGGTGTTGTTGTTATTTTGGTTACTTTTCGGCGTGAATTCTACTGTATTGGCGTTGCCTCCCAAAGCGTTTTCACGTGCATAACTGAAAAATGTCAAAAACACACACAAAGTCATGGCGCGTAATTAATTATGTTTATGTGTGTATGTATGTACATATGTACGTACGTACTTGAAATTTTCGCTTAAAAATATTCTGAAATTATGTACCTCAGAGGCAACGGAAAGAGAAAAACAAAAACAAAACACATATTTACTTTTCAGCATCGCTTAACCAGTAAGTCATATTTTTCGGTTAACTCGTCAAGTTTCCTGTCATTCATTTCCCCCCTACTCATGCCCCTTTAGCAATTCGCGTTTAATTTTCACCGTTTCTGCTTGTCCTTGACGTCACTTTCAGTCGGCGGTTGGTCGTAGCGCGGACGGTTAAGTTTTGTTGCCTTGTTTGTTTTTCGTTTTAGCGTGGTGGCGTTGTAGCGTTGCCACCCATTTGTGGTGTCCTGCGGCGTTGCGCTATTTACCGCATCCGCATAATCCCGCTGGGGGACACTTGGTGGAAAATGAAATTTTGTGAAATGCAAATTCAGATAAATAAACGGAATTTGGTGTAAAAGCAAAAGTGCGGATAATATTGAAGTCATCAAATGAAGGGGGAAAGTTCTTTTAGTCACAAAAGGAACCCTTCGGAAAATTTTTATTGATATGCAAAACCCAAAAAACTAACGAGAATGACTTGATGGACTTAGTTGACTACAAGAATGTTAGAAAAAAAGGTTGCGCCATCTAAATACTCAGTGACGTTATAAATTTTAGATTGAGAAAAGGCAACATAAACTAAATTGTAAAATTGTTTCTTACGTTGCCACGTTTTCATTATAACTTCGTTACGTTACCGCTTGTATTTTGTTCTTATATTCTTGGTCACATCTGTCACAATCAAAACAAAAAACAGGTAACGGTGAAAATTTGGTGAAATCTTTATTTCTATTGTATTTTTGCTTCCATAGATACCTTATACGATATATATATGTATATTTCATGTGATCAAATTTCACCCGCACTAACATAAAACAACTAAACTTTCACTACGCGAATACAAGCATGCCAACGCTTAATCCAATTTTCCATGCACTTGTTATATCTCGGCTGGGATGGCCTCGGTGCCCTCAGCTAATATTGGTTTTTTCGGTTTCGGCTGAGTTTTGGAGCGCCATTCCTTGATTTGTATTCATAAGCCCACGTCTAATCCAGTAATGGTGCGTTTGATAAATGTAGGGTTCACAATTACGTTCTCAAGCATCTCTTTTCCGACCCATAATCGACGTCCTTTTTAAAAGATTCAGATCTTTTGGTACGTATCTAGCATTAACACGTTTCATACCCAAAAGATTAACCAAAATGGTAGAGTCGATCTGTAAGAGATGTTGAGATCCTCTGCTATCTCTTTGATGTCAACACGACGATTTTAAGCACTGTTTCTTTAACTTTTTCGATGTTATCGTCATTAACGAAGTTAGATGGACGACTCACATTAAGCAAGTTTTCAATGACTTCATGACCTTCATTGAACGTTTCGAACCACTCAAATACTCATGTTCGTGATAAAGTAGACTCACCAAAACACTTCTTTAAACATCACGATTCCGTAGCAGTGATTTTGTTGGAAACAGAAAATGGTTACCAAGCTCATCTTAATTGGGTTTCCATGGTAAAAATCGCCAGGCAAACCTATCACGTCGTAAACAAACAGCTGCCAAACAAGCACTAATTGATAAGGTGCGCGACAAAATGATAAGGTCACATCGTAGTTAGTACAGTGTAAGAAAACGGGAATTCCTTGAAAATGGTAACCATATGAAAATAAATATGCATCTAAATGACAGTGAAAAAAACCGCTTTGGGACGTAGAAAGATACCGTTAGATTTAATAAAAGTGCATTTATTTAAATAAGTGCACAATACATTGCGACAAAATGATAAGGTCGGTCTTTAAAAAACTGTTGATTAGTGCGCTAGATATTAGTTTCGATACTGAAAGCTTTTGTATTTAAAACTTGAGTATTAAAAAGAGGAAATGGAACGTGTTAAGTCGCTCTCTAACTATGAACAAGGATAAATTTCTGCTTTGTATACTCAGAATATAAGCATGATAGAAATTGCGAAAAGTTTGTGCAGATCTTTATGCGTCGTACAAAATTTTGTCAATTCAGAGATCTATCAATGCTCAACCACACATTGTCCGATCTAAATTAAAAAAAAAGTGCCGTATTAAACTAAAACACACAAGTTAAAGCGCAAGGAGTTCGCTGAAAGGAATATGAGGACCAACTGACATCAGGTAAACAATTTATAAATGCAAGTACGTTTAATTTAATGCACATATTATTTTTCAGATAATTTTTTCTGATGAAAAAATATTTAATCTTGATGGACCAGACGGTTTTAGCTATTATTAGCCAGATTTATGTAAGGAACCAATGTGCTTTTCGAAGCGAAATTTTGGCGAAGGTTCTTTGATGGTGTGGGGTGCTTTCAGTTTCAATTTAAAAATTCAAACTAAACTATTCTTCATGTCAGACATTTTGAAATAAATTGAATATCAGCTGACTGTTCTTGCCCGTATTGCGAACACAGTTCGTTTATAAGCAAAAATATGAAATAAGCTATCTGCGTTTTATTTGTCAACGATTTTGCTTATGGAGGTCGGATTTTATACCTGATTACGATGACTAGATAATGACGATACAATTAAAGGGTACCTACTATATTCTAGTTTTAAACACTAAGATAGTGAACCAAAGCTTCGAATGCCTTACTCTTCGTAGATAAGTTATCGTATAACAACGTCGGACGTTCCTCGTTCTATTTCAAATGAAATTGATTTGAATGATATATAATTCTAGAAGCCAAGGTTTTCAATGTTCAATTATTAAAAAAAATTTACCTAAATAAAAGTGTTTCATTATCTTTTTGAGTTGACGTTTGGGTATTACATTAGGTTAACTGAACACCGAACTATATGGGAAATGCTTTACTCGTTTCCAACGGCGATTAAAGGCCAGTAAAGCGAACAAAATATTGTTAGAGAGTAAAAGTGAATTCTGTGAAATTTTCATTTATCTTACACTAACGAAATTTCTGTGTCATAAATCCTTATAAAAAGGATATATATAAACCAAACGTGTAATAATACATGCACATACGTATATACTATTCTTTAGCTATTTAGCGGTAATATATATTTAAACAATTTAATAGGCCTTATTTCAAATTTCTAAAAAGTTTTTCGTTTAATCTCTTACACAGGCACCTATTTTCTGCTTTACGACTTTATCGATTATTTCGATAAGGATGAGGCGACTTCATTGCCGCGTGATAAATATTTGGAAATTATGAATAACATTTTTGGCAAAGTAAAACCAGCGGAACGCGATGCAATCATTTTTCGGGTAAGTACCTAATACACGTAATTGTTAGAAACTCATAAAGACACAGCCCTAGATATGTATGTATAGAGTATAAGGACAAATGTAAAGGGTGTTTTTTTGGACAAGTGGTTTTCAAGAATAAATAAAACGCATAAAGTTTAAAGTTATTGTCAAGAATTCAGCTTTATTATAAATTATTTTTTATTATAATTACTGACTCTTCTGCAAGATTATGCCGACCTATTATTGGACGCATCGCGTCATGCGTTGTAAAAGTGGTTCCGGTATAAGTTTGAGTATGAAATCAGACTGAGTATATATCAAGTAATAGCTGTCAGGAAAAGCTTCGAAAAAAGTATTGCTGCATTGCACTCTTTATTAACGATATAAGATGTTGAGCACAAACATATATATACAAAGATATAACCGCTCTTTAATTTAACACACTTTTCTGCACCCACGTACTGAAAAAAAGTTGGCAAATCTCTTGACTTCATAATGCAATCGGCTTTTAATTTTAAATTCGTGGAAAATCGTCTTAGTATACCATAGACTGACTATGTAGGGTGTGTGACTTCAACTTTCTGTTAAAACTTTGAGAGAGGCAGCTTAGTTTGTCTGAAATTATATATTTTGTAATTAATGTATACATTATTTAGACAGAATAAGTACATGGCAACATTCATGGCTTAGAGAAATGGGTCTTCACATAACATTAAGAGTCGTTTTAAAGTTGAAATGCTTAAATATTTTAGCGAGAAAACTTAAAATTTTACAACTTTTCTAGTTAGTATTATCAATAAAAATATATTATAGTTAAAAAACAATCATTATAAAGACCTCACAGTACCTCAACTAATCCAGCGCCTTTAATGACTGTAAAAGAGTACTTGGGGGTATGAGAGGTAATCCCTTTGCATATTTAAATGTGCATGGACACTGCACCCAATTCGCACTCGAGAAACTCGTTCTGATGTCTGAGCACCTGATGCAGCTATTCTATATTTAGATAGTATTCTATTAAGGTGACAGATGAGATCAGGGTAGATATTTTACCAGGATTTTGTACAAATATTAAAAAATGGAATATTTGTTGTATGATATTTACATTCAAAATTGATCTTTGCACAACAATTTAGTTGGAAAATTTCCCATAGACATGGTAAGCGTTGTTATAATAATTGTAATTGGTAGCTTCTACTGTATTAACATAGATATTTTTTAATAATAATATACCTTGACTTTTCCATGGCCTTCCTTGCTCACAGTGGATTTCTCAATGAAAATATTAAGTGGCGTATGCTCAAATATATAACATCTCGAATATCGAGCATGCGCTTATAGGTCTTGTACATGGTATAGTTAAATTATAGTTTATCCTTAGGTTCTTCTAGTTTACCTCTCGAAAGCGGTAACTAACCTATGGCTCATTCTAAACCGTTAAAAGATATTTAAAATTTGTATTCAAATTTTTTCGATTTATTTCTGAAAACAAACTCAAATAATCCACCAAATGGACATAGTATATACTAAAGTGCAACCTTTTAGAGTTATCAAATTCCTTAGAGGACATTTTTCACACACACCCTTTATTATCAATACCAATCAATTTATAAATTGCATGTTTCCCCTTAATACTCAATTTTCAAGTGCATTGCACATTTTTCAGCGACCGAAAAAATATCAAACTTTTTCTGGTTTTCTATTTCACAAACATTTTGCAGCATATCAAGCTGCTTTACAAAGGCCGTCAGTTACACCAATCAGCCAAGTGTGCAGTTGCTCATTCGTTTACGCAAGAATGAAACTCAATATTGGCACAAATACTGGTTGATTGACTTTAATAGCGTTGCATTTTTTCCACTTGTGGTAGCCTCTGCTCTTAAGTAAGCATACAAGTAGTTTGGCAGTACATATGCTCTCGTGGGAGCAAACGAGCATATTGAACGGTTTTCTTGAAGTTAACGCAGTCTCATTTTTTATTAAAATAACAAAAGGTCAGTATTTAGTTAGTTCAGTTGTACAAAAAGCTTGATGTTCAAAGTTTTTAAAGGTAAAAGTTTAGAGAAATAATGATATTTCTACGACTTGGTTCTTTCATAGAATTCGTTAACTCAAATTTTAAATCTTCCCCCAAATGTTAGATAGTAATTTTTGGTAGTTCAGTGACCGCAAATCAACTAATATTACATGTAAGTGGTTTGCACACTTTTTCTATTAGTCCCTCCACAGAATCTAGAGTATATTGGACTATGTTATCAATACAAGATGTATGCCAAAAAAGTCTTGCAACGATCCTTCTGTTTCTCTCATTATTAACATTACGAAATAATAAGTTTAACACGATATTATTGTTTGGTTAATAAGAGAACAATAATTTATACTGTGTCGAAAGGCTTCCATGATTACGTTAGCTTTTATGTTTAAAATGTTCTTCGCTACCGCTTAAGCTATAAATTTCTTGAAACGGACTATTTAAACTACCCGCGCAACCCTAATCGATCAAAAAATATTCCCTTGTTGGTACAACTTCGTGTCTAGTTTGATCTCCATATGACAATTAGTGTGTGTTGGCAGCTGTTTGTTTACGACGTGATTGGTTTTGTTGTGGTCCACAAATTCAGTATGTGAGGGCTTGAATAGTTATAGTCCGACTTTAACAATTTTTGGTCCTCAAGTGGTACATCTTAAAGGCATTATTCATGCAAAGTTTCATTCCGATATATTTATTGGTGCTTGCTTTGTATACTGGAAAGTGAAAGAATCAGAAAGAATTTGAATTGTGTTATATAAATAGTAGGTGTGATTGTTAATCATTTTCGCGCTGTGACATATAAATTTTAGAATAATACACCTAAATGTGGGCGATGCCACGCTTATAATTGAAACTTGACATCGGCTCCCAAATTTCATCAAGTTGTCTTAATTATTACTCAAGTTATCGTTGCACGGTCGGATGAACGGACGGACAGTCACCCGGATTTCAACTCGTCTCGTCATTCTAATCACTTATATGTATAAGCTTATATTTATCTCCATTAATTTTAGGTAATACCAACAATAATTAGGTGAACAAAACTCTTATACTCTGTGGCAATATGTTGGAAGATTATGGGACTTTTTCCATTCTATTTAATTATATTATATTATATAATATAGATGTTATGCCAGGCAGTGACTTGTGTATGGCAAAACAAAAAACCTTAATTTTTTCTGGGGAGCTTTATTAGAGCATTCCAAGTTAAGTACCGATTTGAGTCATCTCTAATAATACCGATCGTGAATTTTTTTGCACTGCTTCCTGATATAAAGTTATCCAGCCAAACTTTGATAAACCCTACGCAGTCAACTTTCAAACCCTTTAGTTCCAATGTAATTACATTAAGCTACAGCAACTGTTGTTAATATACAAATAATTTATAGAGTTGCTGTAAAAATAATCCAATTCCCCGCCTGATTTATATGTTGATCAATGCCAATTTTAGACGATTTTCCTTTTCATTCGCATTAATGTGAACAGTATATAAGGTATTCTACTCTGTCTTCATTGCTGCACTCACACACACATAGCATATTATTAATTTTAATCCTGCGTGTTTGCACTGAATGGCTCGGACAGTTGTGCTAATTGGCAACTCTGTAATTGCGTTGAATTTTGCATGGCTATCGCTTGAATGTATGAGCGCATATGAGTAAAAATATGCATGTGTGTGTGTGACGCAATTGATGGGTGTGCTGCATGTCCTTCCCGTTCCTAGACGGTCCGCCATTAACGCCGATTATTCGATTGAACCGATTTGCTGCTGATTGCCTGATTGTTGATAGCCAACTTATGTGCTTATACTTTCCATGTACATGTGTGCGGGCATGTGTGGGTGCGTGCATATAGATCACGAATTAACGTTGCGAAGTTTTAAATATAATTTTTTTTTATTATAAACCTTACTAAAGAAGCTGCAAGGTTAACTACCAGTCTCCCTATTTCTAATCCTTGAAATCATAAAAAGTTACGGCCCTTGAAATCACAGTTGCTCTCCAGTCATGAGGCATTAGCACTGCCGTCCAGCTGCCCCCTCCTATTGACATTTATTTCAAGCGTATCCCTAAAGGTGGCCCAGTCTGTGTTTCTAGGGATACGCCTGGGAGGGAGTTGCTTGTCCTCTACCCCTAGTGCGAATGTTATGATACGGTGATCTGACATGGAGGGTTCCGATAACACTCTCCATTGTCCGATCAGCCCTGTCATAAGTTCGTTACCAAGAGTGATATCAAGCACTTCCCTTCTTACATTGGTTACAAAGATGGGCTCGCACCCCAAGTTTACAATACTTAAATTCCTACTAACTATTAATTCAAGGAGTGAATTATTCCGTGTATTGCAGTCCGTGCTGCCCCATTCCCATCACACGGAATGTGATGGCGTCGCATCCTAGGACGTGGGGCAGGTTATTCACCCTGCAGTATTCCACCAGGTTACCGACGGCCTCTGGGGGTGCTGTCAGTGTCTCTTCTGGAAAGTAGGCCGCTGCCAGGACGAAGTCCGCTCCTTTGTTGCTTTTAGCCTGCACAGCGACCAGGTCTTGTGTTAGGAACTCTGAAATACAAAATAAATCAATATCGTTCCTAACTACTATACAGGTTCTAAGTCTCTCACTAGAGGGATCCTAGACTACCTTATTGGACTCCGTTTTGAGGTCTCTGACCTCTCCTTTGTTGTACCATGGCTCCTGGATCAGCAGTATACTCAGACCATCCGGCTCCTGTGCCGCGGCTACTCTTGCGCTTCGCGGCCTGGGTGGTCGAATGCGCTGTCCTTTCGCAACCCCGCCCTGCTTCCTGAGTTGCGTAAACCGGTAGCTGGCTCTGATTTTCGCTACTCCGTTTACTACTGGACGTGGTATTGCCACCCTTCCGCTTCTCCAAAGCACTGTTTCCTCTCCCCCTGTTACGCGCTAACTTTTCGGCTTCCTCCGGAGTTCTTCCCTCCTGGAGGTGCCCCAGGTAACATTTCAGGCTGGCATCGCTCATGCCTTTCCTCCTGGGATCATTCTGTACGCCAGAACACCCAGTTGGTGGTAGAGGGGGTAGTCTGCCTCCCCTCTTCCTATGTGAGTCCGGGCATCTGATCCTGCTTGAGGGAGTCTCGATGGGGTTCCCTTTGTCAGCGCCGGCCACAGACTTCTGTTTAGCTCCTGAACCGCCCTTACCTACATATACAACGGTGCATCTGTATGCCTAAAATGGATAAAATCGGGTAAAACTTGCTGTTACCCATATAGGTATAACTAATATCAGAATCCGGTCATCCGGTTGACTTCACTCCTTATATACTCGTGATTGTATGCGACGTACCTGCATGAAACTCAGAGAGAATTTTTTCCATTAGCAATATGTAGTAATGCCAAAAATGGATAAAATTGGGTCATTACTACCCCTATCTCCATATGTGCATATACAAAATGATTTTTGTTATTGTGAGTTAGTGTGCGTTATTTATATACTTGAAAGTTGCAATAGTATAAAATGTCCGGTTACACTCGAACTTAGCCCATCCTTACTTGTTAAAGTATACAAATATATAAAAAGATCTTTTTATTCTGATTTTCATCGGTCAGCTTGGATGACAGCTATAAGATATAGTTGTCCGATATCGGTGGTTCGGACAAATAATCAGCTTCTTGATTAGAAAAAAATAAAATTTCAGACCGATATCTCAAAAACGAAGAGACTAACTCTCGTATATACAGACGGATGGACAAGCAGACATGGCTAAATCGACTCAGCTCGTCCCACTGATAATTTACATATATACCTTATAGGGTCTACGAAGTTTTCTTTTGTGTGTTAATATACCCTGTTTAGGGTATAAAAAGTACCAAACACCAATTCAGTTAATTGATGTGTGTACGCGTGCGTGAGATATGCATATGTAGATTAACCCATGTATGATTGGTTTTTAATTAGTTTGACTAATATACCATGTAAGTATTGCTTCCTCACCTTCGAACATTTGCGGTTATGTCAAGTAATTAATGTTCAAATCAGGGTTGCAAATAATGCATTTTCCTTTAAAAATGAATTTGTTTTGAAATTAACTTTTTTTAAGTTTATTCCAATCAAAAAGTAATATAATATTTTCAATTTTAAATCCCCACCATCTGGAATTAATCTCTAAATTTAATTTTTAATCCCAACATCGGGATTAAGAAACGAAAATCTACTTTTTAATCGCAGCATCGGGATTATTAAATATTTATTTTTTTATCCTAAATTTTTGAATTAAAAAATTCACAACCCTGGTTCGAATATTTTCAAGTCTATCTACATAGTTTTTTTGTAATACTTAATTAGTGTTGCGTTAATAGTAAGCCTATCTAATGGATTACTAAATATTGTGTAGCACAAATACGCAAACGATACGGGCACACGTGCATTGAAGTTTCACTACAAACATTAAAAACCAAGTGGCCAGAAGTTGCAACACACTTATAGTCAGGATATAAATATATGCATTTTACCATATATTGTTAATGCTCATATTCGAAACATGAGATAACTGTTATGAATAACTGCTTAATTTCCCTTTTCGATTTAGCAATTTCTTCCTGTGGTCATTACATTTTGATTGTTGTTGCAGCACACATTTAATCTGTTTTGTTCGCAAATTTATCTGTGCTCTGTTGTTTTGTGGTTTCTGTATGAATATATGAATTGTGGAAGAGTGTAATTTCCGTATTGCTATGCGTTTATCTATGGGTGTGTGCAAACAATCAGCACACAATCAAAGGTATGTGTTGATTTGTGGCAGTTTCTGGCCTATTTTGAGTGGTAGGCAACCAAGTGTATGCACGCAATAAATAAGTAATTTATACAATAATTATAAAAAAATATTAATATTTACCAATCATACTTTTTATTGTAAACTAATCATTTTTTTGCAGTTTTAGAAGTAGCCTAGATGGCGCCACCATTCTTTCTTTGAAAATTGTTTTGAATTTTCTGAACTCAAAGAACGAATGACTTATGAAGGACTTATACGTAAGTCAAAATTATGTTCCAAAGGTTCATTTGATGTCTCTTTTCAATTGCATATGAATTCACGATGACACAAAACTCCCATCGAATTGGGAAGAAGCTTTAGTAATTGTAGTTTAAGGGGCACACCTAGTGAAAAAAATTAAAAAAAAAAATCGATTTTAAGCGATATCTTGAATAAGTTTCCAGCTCAGTCCAGCAAATTTCATCAAGCATAGGTCATTGCGCGGTCAATATCTTATAGTGGAGAATTTTTTTTTAGATTTCATGCATGGATAAGGCCGGAGTCATGACAAGCAGTGAATGACCTTATTTATCAACTTCGGGGATCGCATGTAACTTGAAAAATATTTCATTTTTCAAACGATTTACAGTATATTCTTAAAAAATTTAAAAAGACATCTATAAAATTAAAAAAATATTGGTATGTCTATTGTAAGGCAATAGGCATATTATTGGACGCGAGTTGTCAAAGTTATATGACAGATGGTGAGGTTGAAACAGCCAGGTACTTTCTTCTCCATCATACAGCTTTGCAACACTAAAGTTGAAACATATCGGCAGTCATACTTTTGGCGAACCAGGAAACATAGCCGCTAATTAGCCGTCTAAACAAATATGTGATAGGCTTGAAGCGCTTTGTCGAGTGGTGAGGGCTTTTGATCAATTATATATGAGCTTGCACCGGCATTCTAAGCTCTCCATGTGAGATTCCAGTTAGGATCAACCTCCTAACCTAATAACAACTAACGTAACCTAATTATATACAAGTGCATATATATTGTACAGATATGTAAAGAGAATTGTTTAATCACGTTTGAAATTGCTTACATATATTAATATTTTCAAATATTTTTGGTTTAAGTGCATATATACATATTTATATGTAAATAAAAAGTAAGAGCATTGCGCAAAATTATCATAATAATTGTTTTCCTTAGGGAAGCTATAACTTTTTCATAACGCTTTCGAAACAGCTTCAAAAAATTTCAATAAATTTCCAAACTGCAATTCCCCTTCCCACTTATACAAAACCAATTATGTCACTCACCGGATCATTGTGCACTAATTACTTTATCGCGGTCAACTCGGTGGCATATCGAACATGTCCACTAATGAGCAGTGTGACCAATGGCCAGTCACTGACCAATATTTGCACATATTTATACGAGTAAATAAATGCACCGAACGTCATTGGTAATGCGACACATTATTGTTGTTGCATATTGCTTTTGTTGAATGTAAGTGTTACGCACAAACAACTTAAATTTTAATTTGTTGATTTATTAAATGGACCGCTTATTGCAGCAATTTGCTGTTGTGGTTTTTGCTAAATGCTGTCAGTCGATTCCATCGATTTATTTAATTAAGTAATAATTGGTTATGCATTCAAATTAGGTGCTTGGAAGGATTACATTGCAGGTGTGCAGCTTTTCGGATGGAAATTTTAATTGAACTGAATTATATAAGTACTGCGGTCAAGTTCTTAAATTGATATGAGTTTGAGCAGCATTTTTGTTTTGTATATTTAAATTTTTTTCCATTTCAAATGAGAAGTGCATAAATAATATTGTTGTTGTTATGGCTACTAAGTACGTATACATATTTATATATAGGTATATATCCTGCTTGTGAGTAATTTTCTATTATTAAACAATTAATGTCCATAAAGCATTATCCTGTCCAATCAATATAGTCATTTGTGTTAAAGTCATCATTATTGGTTATTTACTTCACTAGCCTTTTTCAATAATTTAATTTATTTTGTATTTGCAGCATACCAGCTGGGTTGGTAATCCGGGTTTGGAAAATCAGCAGCAAATCGGGCGCGCAGTGGGCGATCACTTCTTCACCTGCCCGACTAATGAGTATGCCCAAGCGTTGGCCGAACGGGGAGCTTCCGTGCACTACTACTACTTTACACACGTGAGTAGAGAAAATTTATTTTACACTTTTTGTGCGAGAACATTAAAGGAAAAACTCTTAATCGGCTGAAGAGTTTAAGTGAGCACTGAATAATTGATTTTTATATTTTTAACTATATATTTTTGTATTTATTGGCTGTTTCTCTGTAATCATTTAATAAAGCAGAAGTGAAAAGGCTATTTTCAGAGAGTTGAGATCGATCGTAACAGTGATCTTACTTCAACAACTTAGAACGCCGGTCTGTTGTGCTACCTAAAACTCCTATATAACAGATCATAGGACCCTCTAAAAGTGTAAAGGGCTTTGAGTCTATAACCAATTTATTGAGATGACTAAAGTCAGTTTCGGCTATGTATGCCGAAGGTAAGCCTGCCGAGATATTTCAAACTCAGTCTTGCAAAACCTGGACAATGGCGTAGAAAGTGCCTAGATCTTTCTCCATTACCTTCTCAATACAACTCTGACAACTTGCGTTTGACAAGATTTTTAGCCTTACCGTATGAATACCTATTGGGCAGTGACCAGTAAGAAGCCCTACGACTGCGGCAAAATGAACTTTGCTAAGGGCAAGTAGTTTAGTATATTTGCGGCGTTCTACCCTAGGCCAAAATGATTTTGCAGTTGCACAGGAGCGAATCGTCGGCCAGCGCCTTCTAAGCGCACACGAGGTCCATTGGTTCGTTCCTAGAAAGTAAATAGCCAATGGAGATCCAACTCGGTTTCATTTCGATATAAGCGCAAGGCTGCCCTCTATTGCTAGCTCCTAATGATGGTCGGCACGGCGGCGTTTTTTTAGTAATCTTATATCCTCCAAATCTCTGGGCAAATATAAGAATCTTCTAATGTCAGAAATAAAATCGGAGGTGTAATATCGAATACCAATCATGCTTTTTTCAAACCCAAATTTTTCAGAGCGAAATGTAGTTTAAACTATTTTTGCAAATGGATACTAACACATACATATATACACTATACACTCCACTCTTCTTCTCGTGTAAACGAACACTTGTTGGTATTGACTTCGTTGCAATTTAAAATGCCACATTTCAAGCTCCTTGCTGTGACTGTTTGTTGTTGTGCGCTGCAATTACCAATGCAAACTGTACGAGCACACGCGTGTTCACACACACCGACACATACACTTATACTTATTTATGCTTTTCAACAAACTTGTCCATGTGCTGCCTATAAGTCTGTGGGTCCATTGAAATTGCTGACACTGTCTACCTTCAAGGGTGCTATTGAGAAAACAAGCAGCTGGCTGTGCTGTACTTTTTTATTTCCATTGAAAGCTAAATTGTGTAGTGAAAAGCACCAGCGAAGCAATGAAAAAAGCGAGAAGGCCAAAGTGTAAGGCTCGCAGATAACGGTAGTGATACAAACAAATACATGCCACATACTGTCATCTGCTTTGGTGTGTGTGTGTGTGACAGTGGTTTTGCCCTCCGCTCGTCAACTTGCACTATTTGCTCGGACCGTTAACAGTAAAAATAAGGCAAATAATAAAGTATATTTACACAATGTAATTATTAATGAAATGTACACAACTATCTAAGCAAATACACAACCGTATGCAGAACGGCATATATCGTACGTTGGTGACATAGTTGCTGTATGCTAACAAGTGACAGGATACTCACCTGCTCTTATGTATAGTATATATGTACATGTATGGTATGCATTTAAATTTTGTTGGTATATATTTATGTACGTATTCATTTGCGACAGTGAATTTATTTAAAACTGGGAAAGAAATTAATCTCTGGAAGGTCCCTTATTAATTTTTGAAAAATAGGCGCAACGAAATTAAGCTACGCAACATAAATCCGTCACGATTGTAGTGGACTCAGCTACGCCATGGTGACGCTCGGAACGTTTAGCTGATTCTGTTTATTATTTGATTTAATATACAAATAAAATGCAAAGCCAGAAGGTTGCCAGCTTTTTTAAATTTTTAATGCAGAAGAGCGTTTAGCATAAAAGTACTGCAATATACATATATTTCTAATATTTGTGTTTGCTGAAAAGATTTAGTAATTTTAAAATATTTGTGTAAGAGCGTTGCCACCTGTTTAAATATTTTAGTCAATTTAATTTACAGTGGCATACTGAGTACCAAGCTGTAAGCTTAACCGATTTGTTTGGATTATATGTTGTAACACTAGAAACTGAAAATATTTGTTTAAAAAAAAAGTTTAAAAATACATAAAAAAAGCACTCAAATATGAGTATCTCTATAAAACGGTATAATAAAATTTTTTTTTTTTTTTGGAAAGTTGCCATCTGTTTACATTTTTATACCTTGAACAGGGTATATTAAGTTCGCCACGAAGTTTGTAACACCCAGAAGGAAACGTCGGAGATTCTATAAAACAAAGCAAGATAAGCTCAGTTGATTTAGCCATGTCCGTCTGCCTGTATATACGTGAACTAGTCTCTCAGTTTTTGAAATTTAGATTTTAAAATTTGCACCTGTCCATTTGTCACTAAGAAGCTGCTAATTTGTCGGAACTGCAGACATCGGACTACTATAGCACATAGCTGCCATACAAACTGAACAATCGGAATCAAGTGCTTTTATGGAAAACTCTTTTATTTGACGAGGTATCTTCACGAAATTCGGCGTGGATTATTATTTAAGGCAATAATCTAATCTCCGAACAAATTGTATAGATCGAATGACTATAGCATATAGCTGTCATATTAACACTATATCACATAGCTGCTATACAAATTGAACGATCGGAATCAAGTTCACGTAAGGAGCCTTTTTATTTGTGAAGGGTATTATTGCACCGAAGCTAACGCTTTTTCTTGTTTATTCAATAAAATTGTTAAAAAAAACGAACTGTTATGCTATTGGTATCAACCTAACAATGTTTATATAACATATATATGTCTATTTACTTATGTATCCTCCAACTGCATTCAGATCAACATTATTTTAATATTTATACATTCAAGTTAACCGACTATAGTACAATATATAAGAGTAATAGAGAAAGATTAATAATCTATGAGAGTCCACTAACACTTAAATGACAAGTGCTATTTACTTTTGTATCCGTTTCAAATGCCCAGTAGGAATTGAACGGTGTTCAAATATAAAATTTTCGATTTCATGTCTGTAAATATTTTATAAGTATTGTATAAATAAAAATTCTTAAAAAATATTTTATTAGTTTATATTACAATATAATCACGTAATTTCTTTGACTTTTTCGAAAAAAACGTTTTTTTTTAATTATTTGAATGTAACATATTTTGAATGTAAAAAAAATTAAATTTTTTTTGGGAAAATAAATCTTCAAATTGCTTTTGAAATTGTATTTTTTTTTTAATTTTAAATTCATTAAATTTTATCGCTGGATCATTTATCTGCCGTCAAGAATTTGTACGCGAAGTTGCAATGTTCCCCACATGGCAGAATGACTCGATCCAACATACTGCAAGCACAAATGTATGCCGCCCAAAGGGGATACATTAACAACTATGAATATGCAAGTACGTAATACGAGGTGTGTTCAAAGGAAAAGCTGAATTTTGAATTTTTTTGAAAAGTACTTATTTATTCATCTATGTCTGTTGTGTCCCTTTCAAAGTAATAATATAATACACTTGTGGCAACGCTTTTTCTATTCCTTGAAGTACTTCTGAAATGTGCCTTTCGGTATCGCCATCAGTTCTTTCTACGATTCTGGCTTGATCTCATCAATTATGGCAAAACGCTTTCCTTCCATTGGGTTCTTCAGTTTTGGGAATAGGAAAAAGTCGCAGGGAGACAAATTTGGTGAATACGGTGGTTGAGGTATGATTACGGTTTTGTTTTTGACTAAAGAGCGATACTGATGCGACACAGCTTTTGCTCAAAATTTAGCAATTTCGGAACAAGCTTCGCTGCAACACGTTTCATATCCGAAATATTCGATATTGATTCGACGATTTTTAAGAACAATTGTTTTCACTGTTTCGATGTTTTCTTCGCTTCTTGACGTGGTTGCACCTCCAGGATGCTCATCGTCATTAACATCTTCTCGGACTTCTGTAAAGCGCTTGTACCACTTATAAACACTTTCTTAAGACAAAGTGGACTCACCAAATACCACAGTCAACATTTTAAGTGCCTTGGAGTACTTCATTAAATTTTTAACGCAAAATTTAATAGATATTATTTGATCCATTTCTTGCAAAAGTCAAAAAGCGCAGAGTACACAAAAACGGGACTAACCTTTTCTGTTTTCAAAACAAACTAATAATCGCAATTGGCTCCTAATGCAAGCACATAGTAAAGATATGTGTCTGATTTTAACCAAAACTAAATATATCGATAATCGATATTCCACAGCCCGCGAAAAATCAAAATTCACCTTATCTCTTGAACACACCTCGTATACTCGCATTTGAAAGGGAAGAAATATTAAATGCATGACACAATCCAAGCTCTGATATAAAGCAATGAAGTGTTTCTAACCATTTGGGGGTAGCTTGTGACTAAATGACAGCTGTTACTTCTTCGATATCACCTTGACACAGTTGGCCGCGGTGAATGAATAAAAGCTTCTGTCGAATATCAGAAAAACTTTCGTGAATAGTAACATGTAAATGAAATGTATTCGTGTGTGCGTTCTAAATGCAAGTTTACTAAACAAGTTGACAAAGTCAACGAATGCAAGTGTTTCCACAAAATTTTTACAAATAATCAATAAAAGTGAGGAAAAATTTAATATATAATATATATAATTGATAGTTATATACTCGTATCTCGGTAAATAATTTTGATTTTTTTAAGATAGTAAAAGTAGTTTAGCGGTAACTTTCATTTTCTAATGTCTTTTTTGGGAATATTTCATTTGGAAAAAATAAAATTCAATCAGTTTCATTTTGTAATATATTGTTAATGAATAGAAGGAAACAGGTCTTGCCGTGCAACAGCTACCGAGCGGTTCAGCGCGTACTACTACGAGACGCTCACGCATAGGTGCTATATCTTCGACAATATT